AAAAAAAATATAATATTAATCAAAATAAATATTAAATATATTAAATATATTTTTAAGATATTAAAAGATTAAAAGACCAGTAACTACAGACTACAGTTACGAACCAACCCTCTCAAACTAAAACTTAGTATCTCTCTTCATTACACTTTATTCCTTTCTCTATTTCTTCCCCCCTATGCATCTATTTTTCCTTTTTTTGATATTTGCCGTCATGCTCTTTCATGCATTTCAAGACTAATCAATCTTGAAGTAATTTTAAGAGCACACCTCTACATCATCTTGCATTCAAGAAAATTAATTTTCTTGGGTACTGGCCCCAAAACTTGAACCTTGAATATGGCCTATAAAACAACATTTATTAGTGAATCCAACCCTTGAAATTCCTTTGCATCTATTCTACGTTCTCTTTTCTTATGCTCTCATGCTTTCATACTATGTTGGTATAACTCTTCCCTCTTTCTTCCTTTTATTTCATCTCACTTCTCTATTTCTCTTCCTCTATCCTTCTCTTATGACTTCACTTTACATGTACTCCCTCTCATTTTCTCATATTATATCGATATTTCTCCTTGCATATACTTTTTACTTACATGATAAATTATGTCATTTTAATAAAGTATTATAAAAAAACTAAAATTTAAAAATAAGTTATTATAGCATTTTTTAATAAAGCTTATATATATTCAATCAATTTAAAAATTAATATATATATAATTTATATGAATAAATTATTAAATCTAACTGTCAATTTTTTAAAATATTTATTGGAAGATAGTATTTTTACAATTAAAATTTTAATTTTTTATAAAAGTTGAAATTGATATACACTATTTTTAACATATAATGTATTAACAAGAAATTTCAAAGTATTTCTTGTAAATTACCAAAGTACGTGCCTTGAACTATTACTCGAGTAGACAAGGAAGTTAACTAGAATGCTCAACTTGGGAAGTGCTTCGTCTTCTTCCTTTTTTTTAGCTTAATCAACTAGAGCTGGAATGGAAAAGGTTAAAAATAAGGTTAGCATATGATAGTATGTTTCTAACTTAAATAGAGGAAAATAATACATATTTATGGACATGTGTGACACGTAATTGCTAAATGGTAATCTACTAACTTTAGAAATTAAATGGTATATTTGGTTTAAAGGGAGGGGAGGGAAGTGGCTCTATATGGTTGGCAAAAAATTTTAAAGTGGTGGAAGGAGTAGAGGAAAATGGAGTGATGTCTTATAATTCCATTCCCCTCTATATTGTTGGCAAAAAATTTTGAAGTGAGGAGAGGAGGCACATCATTTCCTTGCCCTCCATTTCCCTCATTAGGATTAATTTATATTTGATTAAGTTACACTAATGTTTAGTCACTCATTTTAAAATTTTAAGAACAATTAATGTAATACTTGAATTTTTAAAATAACCTTTCAAATTTTAAAATATATGACTAAAAATTAGTAATAAAAATTTCCTTTTTTTTAGCTGGTATGACAAGTTCTCAATCATACGCCAGTGTAAGTTTCTTTAATGTGACACACTGTAAGTTAATTCTTATTCATAATAAATATTTAAATGATAAAATTGGCATTCTGAACCAAAATTTTGCTTTTCAACTATTTATCAAATATGAGACATTTCTAACAAAATTTTATAACAGAAGTTATAAATTCCTTTATACAACGTTTTTTAAATTTTCATATAAATAAAATACTTTTTTAAAAACTTTCATACGGTACTTTCCTCTTATAATCGAAACAGGCCCCTAATTGTAACATGTATAAGAGTACTTCAAAAAAAAAAAAATTATAGTCTTACAAAAACATGAAACTGTTATCTCTCCTTTCAATGTTTTCTTATCCTTTCTATATCATGATTCGAATGAAAAACCTCTATGATGGGGAACAAGAAAGAATCAGTTTTAGGATTATTTAACAATTTTGTTAAGTGTTGTTTAAGAATCATTCTTAGAGTCTTTTATTATTAAAGAGTACTTTATTTTTTCCTTCTTCTAGGTCTTAATTAGTTAAATTAGGAATTTCTGATTTCAATCTAAAACATGGGATGAGAAATCTGTACCTGGTTCTAATGGATTGATACTTCAAGGATTTTTGATGCATGAGACAGAAATACAGAGAAAATCACAGAGCCTAGAAAATAACAGCAATGTTCTTGCCGAATGAAACTTGCCTACCATACCACCTGCAATTATAACAAAAAGAATTAACACTTAATTAGCGAGATGATATAAAATATATATTAATTAAAAATCAAATATTGTTTATAAAATTTAAAGATAAATAATAATAGAAGAAAAAGATACAATTTTTTCTTTTTTGGGTGTGGGGATTTCAAACTAGAGTTTTTCTACTATTTTGGGGGAGGGGATTCAAACTAGAAAGGCCAATTTAAGTTTTAACTGGTTTAGCTGTTTTTCAAAATTTATTTAAAAGTTATTTTAAAAGTCAAGTTAAGTATTTTTCTCCAATAAAATTTTAGATTTTTAAGAGAAAAATTTACACTTTTTAAGCTTTCCAAACACTCTCATAACTAATGTTAATATCTAACAATTGATAGCATTAACATTTAAATAGTAAGTATCAATTATTAAAAATTCACTACCAGCTTGAAAAGAGCCATGCTAAAAATAGTCTTAGTAAGTATCAAATTAGAAGCAGTAGTAGATCTAAGATCTATAGATTTTTTCTGAAAAGGAAAACAATTTGAAATGATAAATCTAACAATTTGCTAAAAGAAAAATGTAAAACGAAGAATCTTAAAAGAAACATCAATAAAGGCTCAAGACTGAAGAGGTAGAGATGGTAGTATACCTGTAAGAAAACACGAGAAACTAAAGAAAAGTAAACACTAATAATTAACCAACTTAGGCCAAGGAGCAGATCCACTCGATTGCAAGCCTGATAGGTTCTAATCACAAGACCTGGGCTGGCTAAAGAGAACAGAGAAGTTCAAGAAGGAAACTGTTGGACATTTGTTGGAAAATACCTAGCCAATGCCCCTTTTTTTTTCTTTTTTTTTCTTTTTTGAACTGACGTAAAAGACGCCTAGCAAATGCTTGAGAAAAGAATATGCAAAGTGATGTT